TACCAACAAGTAAGANACGCTACAGTAATCGCGCACTATTCACTCTTTTTAGGGTCTAATTATAAGGCTTGTATGCCAAGTACTTTCTTTTTTCTATGTAGGTATGTGATCAGCCAATTAAAGGGCTGAATGTCTTTCTTTTTCTTCAAGAGTTTTAGGAAAGTAAAAGATATTTCTTTACCAACAAGTAAGAAATATTTCTTAAATAGGATAGTTATTTTAGGAAGTTTTCTAATCCTTGTAATGGCTAGCCTATAAATAGGTGTTCTATCAATGAAATAAGAGAGACAATATATAATGAATTTTGATTGTAAGTTGAGTTGAGTTTACTCCTCTTGTTCTTGATTGAATTTTTGAATTATCAAAGGTAAATTACAATCTTTGTGGCGTTCCTCCTTGTAATTTGGATTCTTGAGACGGGTTCTTCAATGGGTCTAAATTTTAATATAATCTAGGTTCTTAAAACGAGTTCTCAACGGGTTTAGATTTTCTATCCATAGACCTGAATTTGATTTTCTTGGGTTGTATTTCCAATATTATTGTTGGGTCTCAAAACAAGACTGTTGGGGTTTACATCACAAATGATCGTCATGTGGGTACTGGACTTCTTTGAGGACAANGTGTTCCTCCTTGTAATTTGGATTCTTGAGACGGGTTCTTCAATAGGTCTAAATTTTAATATAATTTAGGTTCTTAAAACGAGTTCTCAACGGGTTTAGATTTTCTATCCATAGACCTGAATTTGATTTTCTTGGATTGTATTTCCAATATTATTGTTGGGTCTCAAAACAAGACTATTGGGGTTTACATCACAAATGATCGTCATGTGGGTACTGGACTTCTTTGAGGACAAATGATGTGAACCCCAATCGACTTACTTTGAGAACCAACAACAATATTGAAAATACAACTCAAGAGAGCCAAATTCAAGTCTAAGGATGGAGAATTTAAACCCGTTGAGAACTTGTTTCAAGAACCTAGATTATATTAAAATCTAGACCCGTTGAAAAACCCTTCTCAAGAACCCAAATTATGAGGAACGCCACAAAAGTTGTGATTTACCTTTGATAAGTTCAAAAATTCAATCAAGAACAAGAGGNAAAGCCAAATTCAAGTCTAAGGATGGAGAATTTAAACCCGTTGAGAACTCGTTTCAAGAACCTAGATTATATTAAAATCTAGACCCGTTGAAAAACCCTTCTCAAGAACCCAAATTATGAGGAACGCCACAAAAGTTGTGATTTACCTTTGATAAGTTCAAAAATTCAATCAAGAACAAGAGAAGTAAACTCAATTCACAATCAAAATTCATTATATATTGTCTCCCCTATTTCATTGATAAAACACTTATTTATAGGCTGGTCATTACAAGGATTAGAAAACTTCCTAAACTAGCTATCCTATTTAAGAAATATCTCTTACTTGTTGGTAAAGAAATATCTCTTACTTTCCTAAAACTCTTAAAGAAAAAGAAAGACATTCAGCCTTTTAATTGGCTGATCACATGTCTAAATAGAGAAAAAAAAAGTACTTGCCATACAAGCCTTACAATTAGACCCTAAAAAGAGTGAATAATGCACGGTTTACTGTAGCATGAATAGTGCCCCGCTACAGTAACTACGAAAACCCTAATTCATAAGAAATAAAACATGTGTGGGCTANGTCTAAATAGAAAAAAAAAAAAAAAGGTACTTGGCATACAAGCCTTACAATTAGACCCTAAAAAGAGTGAATAATGCACGGTTACTGTAGCATGAATAGTGCCCCGCTACAGTAACTACGAAAATCCTAATTCATAAGAAATAAAACATGTGTGGGCTAAGTATCCTCAAATCCACTTATTCTAAACTAATAATAAAAATTCTTTAAATAAATTGAAAGCCTTAACAACAAAAGCCTCTATCTCTAAGTCATGTCTTCATGTCTTCCATAGCTTGGATCAAGTGGATCGAAATTAGTTCTCCTTCTTTCAAGCCCATCTTGAGTGTTGGACTCTTTCTAGTTTCATTCCACCAATCCTTGCATTGCTTTCTTGATCTTATAATTGACTCATCTGGACATACAAATGATCTTTAAGAGTAGGTCCACATTGGCTCTTATCATTCCCCCTTTTCTCAAAAAGATGCGTCCTCGAATCTTAGCCCACATTTTAAGGAGAAAAATCAAAAACATTGACGGTAGCAGGGAAAAATTTTTTTGAATTTTATCTTCTTTTTATTTTCTGCTTTTTTTTTTTATTTCTTCTGTTTTTTTTTTTTGGACGAAATTTTTATTTTTTATTTTTCCACCAGCTGATTAGATCAAAAACTAGATAGAAAAAAAACAAAAAAAATCTATTGTGACTTAACAACATCTTTAGTAAACATTATCGGTTGAATCATGTGAAGCTTTTTTGGTTCACCAAGTCAATCTCTAGCTTGGCTCTTGCTCAGCGAGCATGACCCCTCCTGGCCGAGCTTCTTTCTCCTCCTCAGACGAAGCCTCCGTAGATCACTCTAACNAAAAAAAAAATTTATTGTGAGTTAACAGCATCTTTAGTAAACATTATCGGTTGAATCATGTGAAGCTTTTTTGGTTCACCAAGTCAATCTCTAGCTTGGCTCTTGCTCAGCGAGCATGACCCCTCCTGGCCGAGCTTCTTTCTCCTCCTCAGACGAAGCCTCCGTAGATCACTCTAACATCTCCAACTGATTGTTGGTGCTGGGCCTCATCCCTATTTTGTTGTGCATCCGCCCTTTGCTAGCGTCTATGTTCAATAAACCTACCAAGATGCCCCTTCTGGATGAGGTCCTCGATCTGGTCTAAGGACCGAACAGTCTTCGGTGTTGTGACCGTGGTCAAGGTAGAACCTACAATACTTGTCTTTGTTCCTCTTGTTTGGGTTAGTACACATCTTTGGAGACCATTTTAGGGCTTAGTCATCTTGGATCTGGGAAAAAAACTTGTTCAGGAGGGTGTTGAGTGGTGTGTATTTGCGAGCGAGCGAACCTCGAGTCCGGAGACCCAAACAATCCCTAACATTCACCCTCTCTACACGGTTCTTCTTCGAGTTGCTAGCTCGGTCATTTCTGTTTGGGTGGTTGCGCATCTTTTTCTCCTCTTACCTGTCCTCCTGGGCTCTACGTGCTAGGAGGGTATCTATGCTTTCATGCGACTCTGTGCCCTCAAGAGTAGCTCCATCATACCAAAAGGCAGATCATTTGATAGCGAGAAGAGTAACTTGGAGGGTTAGAGTCCCCCCATGAAAGCAGTGAGTGCCATTTTGTCATCCACGTTGTCAATCTGACAAGACTTCATGCTGAATCTATTGACAAAGCTTCTAATTGTCTCATTCCTTGACTGCTTCACATTTAGAAAATATGTAGGGGGCATCCTGTATGCTCTCCCACCAATGAAATGTGAGATGAAAGAGATGATGGGCTTTGCAAAAGAGCTAATTGAATTAGGCTTCAACTTGTTGAACCAATGCCTGATAGTTCCCTTGAGAGTACTCGCAAAGGCCCTGCACAGAATCTGATCAAGGACGCTGTGAAGAATCACAATAGACTTGTAAGTCTCTAGATGTTCAAGCGGATCTCTTAGTCCATCAAAACTCTCAGTCACCAGAATCTTGAATCTTAATGGTAAGAGATAATCCGCAACATCAGGAGCAAAAAGTGACCCTGTGTTGGACTAAAACCTTTACTACCTTTAGAATTCAAGCCTTCACAGTATTTATTACGTTACCGAGCTTGTCATTCTCCTGGAATGTTCGTTCCCGTTGGTCATTCACCTTGTACCACATTCCTCTGGCTCTCATCTCAATGCTCCGAAGGTAAATTCCTTTCTTGGGGTTGCTAAGCAGTGAGTAATTGTAGGATTTGTTGGTTCTGTTAAACCAACTCCTCCATAGTCTTTTCTAGCTGCTCCACCCTATGCGTCCCTTTTTCCGGCAGGGCTAGGTTTCGCTAATTTGATTGGTGCAACCTTGGTCGTTCATTATCACGAGTTTGATCCCTAGCAAGATCTTGTGACCTTGTGGTGGTCATTTGATAATAGATGGAAAACTCAACGTTTCTTACAGACGGTACTAACCGATGATGCCAAAAAATTCTCACCGAGATCCAGACAAGTTATTGACCAATATTGTGATTTGACCAACCAAGAAAGGCAAGTGCAAAGACAAGTCAAAGACCAAAATGGCTCGGACACTAAAGTCAAAAAGAAATTTTTAAAAAAGTGTTCAATTAAAATTAGAGTTGTATACCTGAATTATCTCCAGTTCTCTTATTTTATAGGTTGTGATGAAATATTTTTGTTTCTCTCATTTTATAGGTTGAGATGATTCAACCGGTAGGGGATCCTTATCTTTTATTTGAATTGGCGTGGTACTAGTGTTGTAATGGAGGTTGACTCTTTGCTAGAATAGGAGTCTCAACTGGATTGAATTAATCAAGGTTGTGAGGAGTTAGGACTCTATCGAACTGAAGAGCTAGTTGCGAGCCCAACTAGAGTTCTTCCAAGCCTCCAAGCTCATGCCAAAATACCCATTAGCAATACCTACTATAAAATTTAAGCATACTCATTATTATTATTAATTATTTTTTATTAAATGACCGATTCGACCAATTAACCATACAGTTAAATTAGTGACACATCGACTCAATCATTTTGCCAGGTCGGCCGAGCTGGGTTTAATAACTATGCTATTACAGCAGTTAATTTTTTCTCTGTCCTCCCAGGTGTATCGAGTGTGGTGGCAGCACATTGTCTAAAAGAAAATAGTGAATGATATTTTTGAACAGCTTCAATTTAGCTACTGGATCCCCAACAAAACCAGAAAATCCTTCCAATAGCAGCCTGAACATACTTCTCAAAGAAACCAACAATTGTCAACTAGCGACTAGGCATGCTCTTCAGAACCCAAATACCAAACTACCCTACACTCAAAAGCGAAGCCTTGAGCAGCATAAGCAAAATAGGAAAACAATACGTATTTGTGGGGGCTTGGGTTGGGACTGTCACGAAGGAACATTACCCAAGCCAAAGTAGAGAGTTTTTTGTTGATATGCATTGATAGCATAGTCCACTTGAAAGTAACCCAGCTGGGACTTGAACCGAAGGCCATATCCAAGTCCAACACCAGTTCCTGGTTTACCATGCCTTAACGCAGGATTTCCTACAATTCCCAAAACAGACATTACTCATGCAAATAGTGAAAGCGAAAAAGGAAAAGAAACAAGATCAAAATAGGTATTATGAAGCATCCTGGCATTCATTAGTTCAAAAATGAGGATCTCAGCATCGACAAAAAAGCTATGCTAGTTTTGGCAAATAAAAAAACGTGCATTCTCACTGAATAAGTGCTGTAAAAAGCTTCAAGCAACACAAACACTACATTTTCTCAACTCCTAGATCCCATGCACAACTGGAGAAAAGAACAAAGAAAAGCAAACTAGAAAAGCTGCTATTTTATGGTTGTCCTTTTCCTGCTTAAAGTGTAGAAGAAGCCTCTTTTAGTACCCAAAACCGTAAAATGAACAAACTAAGGCCAAGATTTTCATTTTGATCCATCCTTCAGCCTCCAATAGCCATTCTCCTTGCTCATTCCATACCTCCCTGTGAGTCGTCCCCCAAGACTTAAGGAAGCTACAACCAAAAGGATGTGAGTCACTCTTAATGCATGGTCTCCTGACTACCATACGAAGAGCGCATTCCCACGAATTCCAATCTTATATTCAAGGACAATTAATTAATCAATTTGGTAATTGAGGTAGATAGGTTAGAAATTGATGATTGTTCAATCGGGAAGTGTAATTAACCTATGCATACTCCTCGCCTGGGTCAAATGTGAAGTTCAGCGTGTATAATTGTGAGGAGAAGATCCTTAACTCACTTCCCCTAATTGGTATCAAAATGTGGTTACCTGTGAATTGCACATAGGCACATTGTAGGCACTCATTGCATTCTTGCTTAATTGTAACTCTCAATATAAAGCTTTCTATTTTCCTTTTAGGTCTTTTGAAAGAAAAAAAAACGAATAACTATAACATTAATCCCGACCCCCACGGAACACTGAAAGAATCCCCGGGGGGGAGGGCAGCCCTGCCAGCTCTGATTCACTTCCAAGGGTTGCTAGCGGGAAACGCTTTCACTCAAGTTTCCTTAGCATCTCACACCTTGGAAACCGGATGGAAAGCGCTATCCCCGAGTGAAAGCAAGTATCCGAGGCCCGCCGCTTGAAGGGATAGGCCTCGTCGCTTGAGAGGACCCCTCACTCCTAAGGATTCCTAGTTAGTGATAAGTTCTTTCTTTTCTATTCTAGTGGGAATGAGGGAATGGACTCATAGCTCTCCCCCCTACACAAAGGCTACAGGGGGAGAGCCATTTTGAATGGATTGAAAAAAAGTATAATGGCCTCCTATATGCCTCAACAACAAACATCTCTGAAGCGACCTGTCTGATCTCGGTCTCCGAACACTTTTGCTGCAAGCAACTCTGACCTCATTACAAATGAGCAACCTCAGATCCTATGACTACTAAACTGAGAGCGAATCAGAACTATATTCAACATCTGCTGATATATTCAACATCTGCTATAATGTTCGAACGTCAACTCACGTTCGAACGTCCTCCACAGACTGCCTGCAGAGTAGTTGATTTTCACTTAAACTAGGCAGTATACACTATTCATCCTCTCTTATTTTCCCCATTTCCCTTCCCCTTCCTTTGCCTATAAATACTCCCATTAGGGGAGCTTCATGGGTGCAAAAAATTTTCTCTTGTAAAGTAAGGAGCTAGAACTTGGTTAGTAGGCCTAGACTACATCAAGAACTAGTAAGGAGTTTGTATGGAGGCTTAGACTCCCACTCATTTTGATTAATCTTAGATGTATGTTATATTTACTTGTATCAAGAGAGTTAGTTCATTTCTTGGTTGAGGAAGCAACCCTCCATCTTTTGGTTGAGGAAGCAACCCTCCACTTGTTGGTTGAGGAAGCAACCCTCCAAGTAGTGACTAGCTTTCTCCTACTTTCAGTGTTTATGTCTTTCACTTCCATTGCTTGACCTTCCTTCTTCCTTAGTAGAGTTTTACCAAAACCGTGAAGGATGAAACATGATTCACTTATTCCTTGGTGAAGATCGGTTCTTCGTTTATTGTACTTTACCTTGTAAGTTTTGTACTTGGAGGGATGAGTATCACTCACTTTTCTAGCTTTACCTAAGCCATGAAGAGTGAGTAGTTCCTCATTCACTCTTTAGTAAGAGGTAATGAACATGTATTAATTATCAACACACCATGCTGAGACATGGTGTGTTGCAGGCAAGAAAGAAGACTCTGAGGTACTTAAGTACCACGTTCGAACGCGAACTCACGTTCGAACGTCCACTTGATTTGATTGAAGACCAGAGTGATGAGAGTAAAACGCCAAGTTCTGCATGAAGTGTGGAAGTGGGTTTCCACAAAAGACCACAAACTACTTAAGTGATATGGTCAAACCTCATCTAGCGTTTGAACGACCCTAAAGCAAAGACAGAAGACACGTTCGAACGTTAGGCCACGTTCAAACGTCCATAAAGCCAAAACAGAAATAACGTTCGAACGTCAACTCACGTTCGAACGTCCTCCACAGACTGCCTGCAGAGTAGTTGATTTTCACTTAAACTAGGCAGTATACACTATTCATCCTCTCTTATTTTCCCCCTTTCCCTTCCCCTTCCTTTGCCTATAAATACTCCCATTAGGGGAGCTTCATGGGTGCAAAAAATTTTCTCTTGTAAAGTAAGGAGCTAGAACTTGGTTAGTAGGCCTAGACTACATCAAGAACTAGTAAGGAGTTTGTATGGAGGCTTAGACTCCCACTCATTTTGATTAATCTTAGATGTATGTTATATTTACTTGTATCAAGAGAGTTAGTTCATTTCTTGGTTGAGGAAGCAACCCTCCATCTTTTGGTTGAGGAAGCAACCCTCCACTTGTTGGTTGAGGAAGCAACCCTCCAAGTAGTGACTAGCTTTCTCCTACTTTCAGTGTTTATGTCTTTCACTTCCATTGCTTGACCTTCCTTCTTCCTTAGTAGAGTTTTACCAAAACCGTGAAGGATGAAACATGATTCACTTATTCCTTGGTGAAGATCGGTTCTTCGTTTATTGTACTTTACCTTGTAAGTTTTGTACTTGGAGGGATGAGTATCACTCACTTTTCTAGCTTTACCTAAGCCATGAAGAGTGAGTAGTTCCTCATTCACTCTTTAGTAAGAGGTAATGAACATGTATTAATTATCAACACACCATGCTGAGACATGGTGTGTTGCAGGCAAGAAAGAAGACTCTGAGGTACTTAAGTACCACGTTCGAACGCGAACTCACGTTCGAACGTCCACTTGATTTGATTGAAGACCAGAGTGATGAGAGTAAAACGCCAAGTTCTGCATGAAGTGTGGAAGTGGGTTTCCACAAAAGACCACAAACTACTTAAGTGATATGGTCAAACCTCATCTAGCGTTTGAACGACCCTAAAGCAAAGACAGAAGACACGTTCGAACGTTAGGCCACGTTCAAACGTCCATAAAGCCAAAACAGAAATAACGTTCGAACGTCAACTCACGTTCGAACGTCCTCCACAGACTGCCTGCAGAGTAGTTGATTTTCACTTAAACTAGGCAGTATACACTATTCATCCTCTCTTATTTTCCCCCTTTCCCTTCCCCTTCCTTTGCCTATAAATACTCCCATTAGGGGAGCTTCATGGGTGCAAAAAATTTTCTCTTGTAAAGTAAGGAGCTAGAACTTGGTTAGTAGGCCTAGACTACATCAAGAACTAGTAAGGAGTTTGTATGGAGGCTTAGACTCCCACTCATTTTGATTAATCTTAGATGTATGTTATATTTACTTGTATCAAGAGAGTTAGTTCATTTCTTGGTTGAGGAAGCAACCCTCCATCTTTTGGTTGAGGAAGCAACCCTCCACTTGTTGGTTGAGGAAGCAACCCTCCAAGTAGTGACTAGCTTTCTCCTACTTTCAGTGTTTATGTCTTTCACTTCCATTGCTTGACCTTCCTTCTTCCTTAGTAGAGTTTTACCAAAACCGTGAAGGATGAAACATGATTCACTTATTCCTTGGTGAAGATCGGTTCTTCGTTTATTGTACTTTACCTTGTAAGTTTTGTACTTGGAGGGATGAGTATCACTCACTTTTCTAGCTTTACCTAAGCCATGAAGAGTGAGTAGTTCCTCATTCACTCTTTAGTAAGAGGTAATGAACATGTATTAATTATCAACACACCATGCTGAGACATGGTGTGTTGCAGGCAAGAAAGAAGACTCTGAGGTACTTAAGTACCACGTTCGAACGCGAACTCACGTTCGAACGTCCACTTGATTTGATTGAAGACCAGAGTGATGAGAGTAAAACGCCAAGTTCTGCATGAAGTGTGGAAGTGGGTTTCCACAAAAGACCACAAACTACTTAAGTGATATGGTCAAACCTCATCTAGCGTTTGAACGACCCTAAAGCAAAGACAGAAGACACGTTCGAACGTTAGGCCACGTTCAAACGTCCATAAAGCCAAAACAGAAATAACGTTCGAACGTCAACTCACGTTCGAACGTCCTCCACAGACTGCCTGCAGAGTAGTTGATTTTCACTTAAACTAGGCAGTATACACTATTCATCCTCTCTTATTTTCCCCCTTTCCCTTCCCCTTCCTTTGCCTATAAATACTCCCATTAGGGGAGCTTCATGGGTGCAAAAAATTTTCTCTTGTAAAGTAAGGAGCTAGAACTTGGTTAGTAGGCCTAGACTACATCAAGAACTAGTAAGGAGTTTGTATGGAGGCTTAGACTCCCACTCATTTTGATTAATCTTAGATGTATGTTATATTTACTTGTATCAAGAGAGTTAGTTCATTTCTTGGTTGAGGAAGCAACCCTCCATCTTTTGGTTGAGGAAGCAACCCTCCACTTGTTGGTTGAGGAAGCAACCCTCCAAGTAGTGACTAGCTTTCTCCTACTTTCAGTGTTTATGTCTTTCACTTCCATTGCTTGACCTTCCTTCTTCCTTAGTAGAGTTTTACCAAAACCGTGAAGGATGAAACATGATTCACTTATTCCTTGGTGAAGATCGGTTCTTCGTTTATTGTACTTTACCTTGTAAGTTTTGTACTTGGAGGGATGAGTAT